AACAACAACAACAACAACTCCGCCATTGCCGGTCCCAAGCCCGGATAAGAAAGGAGGAAGGTTGGGATCAGGTTGGCATCTGGTCCCGTAAACCCCCCCCCCCCGCCAACCCATACAATATGGTGAAAAAAACAAATAAGAATTTCATACATTCGAAATAGCCTCTTTTTTCTGGCTCTGAGTTGTAGTAACAGGCCATTATGGCACGGGTTTCATCTGCACTATATTTTTGTCGTTTTGTTGGCTGGTCCACTTGTAGCCCACTTGTCGACGGATGTCCAGGGACCCCAACATCCGCCGCGGCCCTTGTTAACCCGCGCGACGACCGATGCGGTATGGAATTCTTATTTGTTTTTTTCACCATATTGTATGGGTTGGCGGGGTTTTTTTTACGGGACCAGATGCCAACCTGATCCCAATCTTCCTCCTTTCTCATCCGGGCTTGGGACCGGCAATGGCAGAGTTGTTGTTGTTGTTGTTGTTGTTGTTGTTGTTGTTGTTGTTGTTATTATTATTATTATTATTATTATTATTATTATTATTATTATTATTATTATTATATCTTCTAAAACCTGGGCAATACTTTTACAAATGGTTGTGGTGCAGTGGTTAAAATGCAGTACTGCATTCTGCTGCCTGCCAGCTGCCTGAAATTTTGTAGTTCATTTCTCAATGGCACAAGGTTGAGTCAGCCTTCCATCCAAGGTCGATAAAATGAGGAGCCAAATTGTTCCTGGCAATATGGGGCAATATGCTGACTCTGTAAATCATTTAGAGAGAGCTGTAAAGCACTGTGAAGCTATATATAAATCTAACTGCTCTTGCTACTGCCACAATATGGAATCAACATAATAGAATCAACCCATTCTCCGTTTAACAAACTATTACTCCCTCTTTTTTAACTTCAGTTCTAATAAAGAGGCCAAGGGAATATATTTTTTCTAATACATTTTTCAGCCATCACTTATTTGGGAAGGATTCTGTTTCATCAATATCTTCTTCCAAAAATCAAGATATTTTTAATTATGTTTTATAAAAATACAGTTGTTATATGCTGCTAACCATTTTAACTATATTTCTTTCAAAAAGATACAGAAAAACAAACAAAATGTAAATAGCCTGGAGCAGAATACATATGCAAATATTACTACATGGTCCATTTAAAAATGCAACTTTATACAGAAACATAGATGCAATATAACATTTCTACAAGCTTTATACGTATTTGATGTACTTAGGAACTCATGCATTTGTAGAGAGGAATTTGAGAGTCCTACATGCAATTTAAAGAGGTAGGAACTAGGAAAAAGTTCCCTGCCTCATTTTCTGTTTGCAAGAGCAGACTTACCATGTTGTGTAGTGACCTTCATGTGTGAAAAACCATACAAATCAGCAAAGCTTTCATCATATCAACTCAAAATCAGCTCAAGCCCAACACTTTTCAATGAAGTACAAACATGTGTGAATCAGCTCTAAAAAGTTCTTCTTTTGGCTGGCTTTTAGTGTCAATTATCAGATTACTACATAGAAAAAAAGTATATGTCTATGTGATAAGGGGATTAATTTGCAATTTTCATCTGACTGGGTTTTGTTCTGACAGTTTATGTCTTTTATTTTCAACAGTTTAGTTTATCATTTCATTTTTAAAGCTGGTGTAATCTTTCCTGAACTCTGGGATAGGAAGGAAGAAAATCCAACTAAATCCATCATAAATAATATGTAGCCATCTTGTGCCTGTCCTGACACTATGACATGACTAGCAGTATCTGAATATTGAATACCTTAGGCTACCAAGGAGAAATATCCTTCTATAATCACATATGGTCAAGCAGAACTCATTTAACACTCAGAAATGCACATTCTGACAAAAACTTGGTCTAGAATCAGATAGGGCTGAAATAAAAAAAATTAAAAAAACCTCCAATGGCCTAAAATACTGTATAAAAATGAAAAGAAAAATGGATAGACATTTATGAATAACATGAACTTTCATGCCCCCCTTTTCTTCCTCTTTTTGGATCACTGTCTCAAGAGCTTTTCTATTGAGATGCAGTAGATCACCATCATGCTTGCTTTTCAATAGGACTAATGCAAGATAATTCCCCAATTCTTTATGACATGTCAGGAGAAGCAGACATGCAAAGTAGGAAGTGTTGCTACAGTACCATTATGCAATACTTCCCAATAATTTCAATTTACTTAATTTATTAAATGTATGATTATATTGCTTAACAGTATTTTTTATATCAAATGATTGATATAATGAATAAAATAAAAAATGGTACAAACAGATGCTAGTCTCAGTCAAGAGACAACTGTCATGAGGTCTTTAAACTCAACTGTCATCATCTATGTAACACTATTATATACGCTCATCTAATTCCCATCAGCTTCTCCTTCCTGTCTCTATTTACATGATGGGCTATCAGTTCAGTAAAATAAATTAGAAAGTATAAAACATGCTCTGTGCCCCTTATTTTTTGTTTAAGTACTTTCCAAAATCATTAGATCAGATGAGAGTACTATTAAAATCTTATAGGTTTTTAATGTACGTACAGTATTTTAGTGACATATTCTAAATGAGTCTAGAAAAAAGGAAGTTTGAAATATTGATTCGACCCATCTTTCTGAGGAGGTACTAACTGTATAGTTTTAATTTATCCGATATTGCATTCAATAGTACATTTTGTATTTGACAGTACAGGTTGCATTTTTAAGAGTCACATATTAATGGTATCTGCAGGTGATAAGAACATGGAGGTGGGGGAGAGAGAAGCAGGTTTCTAGAGATGGCAACTTTTATAATGCTAGAGGTTTATAAATGGTTTAGAGGGTTTTTTTTTTGGCTAATTCAAGCTGTCAGCTATTTAGAGCAAATATACCTATTTTCCTAATCATTCAAGTCTTATTGACCTATTGATGGTGGTTGGCATTGGAACAAGTAAGGAAATAAGATAACACAAGCTTTAATTGGATCATAAAGCGAGGCAAACACAATCACCTTATCAATACTTAGAAAGTTCTTTATGATTTATCGCTATAAAGCAGGATCCCAAGTGATTTGAATAACATAAATACTGTACGTAGCAACTTGCTTGTTTATATTCATTGATAACCTAATCAGAATCCTGCACAGTTCTTCAGCCAGTGTTGCTATGAAGTGGTTCATACAGGAACTACTATTTCACTCACATGAACGAGAATAGGATAGGTATGTGTGATGGCTGTTTGATGGGATGAAAAAATGCTGTTGTGCATTATAGTTTTGAAATTTAATAGCTTTTACACATTTAAGCTATTAAATGTCCATATTGTGTCTCTTAGCCCTTTGATGTACTTTCCCTTTTTAAAAATTATTTATTTTATTATTCCATTGAGCACCTGTATTCTGCATGATCCAGAAAGAGGGCTGTGAAAATATCTACAGATTCCACACATCCTGGATATAAACACTTTCAACCTCAAGACAACGCTATAGGGCATTGCACATCGGAACAACCAGACACAAGGACAATTCAGGTTGATTACTTATTTAGCATCCTATGACTATCACTAAGTGTTATATTTTATGATTTATGATGAATGTATTTTTATGATGACTATGATCATGATTTACCACATTGCTTGTATGTACACTGAGAGCTTATGTACCAGGGACAAATTCTTTGTGTCTCCAATCACACTTGACCAATAAAGAATTCTAGTCTATTCTATTTAGAATGTTTCATATTTTTCATCTATCTATCTATCTATCTATCTATCTATCTATCTATCTATCTATCTATCTATCTATCTATCNTCAGTAGATTTTTTTTTTTTAATTATTATTATTATTATTATTATTATTATTATTATTATTATTATTATTATTATTATTATTATTATTATTATTATTATTTGATACCTAGGACGCTGGCAGCAACTCATATCAACCATTAGCACCAGTCAATGGTATTTGTGATGCATTTTTGAATGTTCAGTTGGCTGTGTTTCCTGTTTAATGAATAAAGTATATATAATAATAGGTGCAGACATACAGAAATCAGTCATTTGGGAAGGGGAGCTGCATCTTGGTTTCCTCCCTATCCAAAAGGGGTTCCTTGCTCTTTGCTTGGCCTGAGGCTGTTTGTCTTCTGAGCTACACTGACTGCCATTCTCCCGTCCAGGTGCTGCGGCTGGCCCAGCTGATCGGCCAGGCCCAGCAATCAGCCAGGTCCCTCTCAGACCGTTCAGCGGAGGCCGGCCCCAGCCACTCCTTCCTCTCCTGGTTCTGGTTTGGTTCAAGTGACTTGAACGGCTCCTACCTGGGGAACGACATGGACGAAATGGGGCAAGAGAGTATACGAAAAACGGACGAATACTTGGAGAAAGCCCTGGAATATTTATGTCAGATATTTCGGGTAGGAATCAGAGTTCTTTAGGCTCTTTCTAGATCCCCAGTCTGCTTTGCCTCCCCGAGCTCCTGGGCCTTCCTTGGTCTGTCCTGGGAGGGGGAGGGCTGCCCCTTCTCTGCAGGTGAGGGGCTGCTAAAGCATCCCAGCAGAGACACCTCCCTTGGGCTGCACTTTGTTTTTCTTGCAGCTTTTTCAGTTTAATTAACAGAAGGGATTTTGAGAAGGAACTCCATTAAAGCTCCATCCTTCTGAGGTGGGTAAAATGAGGACCCAGATGTGAGAACGACGACATCTTGTGTTTAGAGGCCTCCCACATTTGCTCATGTAACAATGCAATTAACATGTGATAGGGGTGTCCTGTTTTGGTTATTGCCAGTTGAACGAAGCCCAGCTGAGCCAGCTGATCCTGAACAGGGGAGGGGCTGCAGAGGAGAATGGGAAGATGCTGCTGCCAGACTGCATTGAGGATGAAGATGGGCTAACGCTCACACCTCTTGGGAGATACCAGGTAGGCCAATGACCTGCTCAGGAAGTTGTGCAAAGCAGCAGCGCATGTAAGAATGTAAGCAGGGCTCTAATAGATTGACCCTGGCACATTCGGTCCAGCAGGCTGTTCTCCCAGTGGTCGACAGCCTTACCAGGTAGACCAGGCAGAAAAAACCACCAGGTTAGTTAATTCTACTTGATTGTAAGGTTACATTAACAGAACATTGCAAGTGAGAAAGTGCAGTTCCTCTTCCACCTCCTTCTCTGTTTTGATCTGTCCTGCTTCTTCCAGGATTCCCTGTCATTAGTTGACCTCTGGGAAGGGAACCCGACTACTCCCCTTTATCCACACCATGTACACCTCCATCATCTCTCCTCTCTTTCGACTCAAAAGCCCAAATGCCACAGCCTTTTCTCCCAGGGAGCCACTCCACCCCTTGGCCTCCTTAGTTCTGCTCCTCTTGGCCTTTTCTAGCTCTAACTGACCCCTTCTGAGGTGCGACAACCACAACCGCACAGTGTTCCAGATGTGTTGCGCCAGAGATCCATGCGAGGGCATTGTGATGCTGGCCTCTCTGTTTGCAGCCCTGTTTCTTATCCCTCCCATGTTGAGGGTCTTTTCTGACAGTAGATGCCCCCTGAATCAGCACCTTCACTGAAGTGTTTCCTGTTCTTCTGAGATCTCATCGCTCACTCCTAGCTCACTCCATTGGTTTGGATGACTAGCTGGAATTTTGGGTGCCAATATGTACCACTTTACACTTGCCTATGTTGACTTCCACTTTCCAACATGCAGAGATCCCTGTGAAGCTCTTCATGGTCCCTTATCGTCTTTACCACCCCAAACAATTTAGCTTCATCAGCAAAGTTGGCCAAATAATTTGTGAATAGGTTAAAAGACGCCATTCAGGATGTCCATTTGTCCCTCTTGGTTTGCTAGTCACCAGCCACTTGCTTACCTGCCCTTATCTTCCATGGCTGTTGAGCTTCCTGGGGAGCCTCTGATGGGAATCTTTTTTAAAGGCTTTTTGAAAATTTCAGTCAATGATGCTTAGTAGCTCACCACCCTTATCCACATGATTTCTGATACCCTCAGAAACTCCTAGTAGTTTAGTTAGACCGTGAAGGTATTCTTCAGCAAGGTCCACAGATGGAATGTGGCCAGGGTGGTCTTAGGCTGCATTAACAGGGATGGAATCAAGATCATGTGAAGTGTTTGTACCGGTTTATAAGGCCTTGGTAAGGCTACACTTGGAATCCGGCATCCAATTTTGGTCACCACAATATAAAAAAGATGCTGAGACTCTGGAAAGAATGCAGAGAAGAGAAACAAAGAAGGCTAAAGCATAGGAAGAACAGTTGCAGGGATTGGCTATGTATGCTCTAGTGACAAGAAGGACTAGGGGTGGCAGATTGTACTGTTCGATATTTGAGGGGATGCCAGAAAGAAAAGGGGATCAGTCTATTTCCTAAAGCACCAGAAGGCAGGACAAGAAACAATCTATGCTAAGGAGGAATTTCCTGACAGTGAGAACCAGTGGAACAGAAGTTGCCTTCAGGAGTTGTGGGTGCTCAATCACTGGAGGCTTTCAAGAAAGATTGGGGCAGTCATTTGTCTGAAATGGTGTAGGATCTCCTGCTTGGAGCTTGGAACTAAAAGACTCCAAGGTCCTTTTTCCAACCCTACTCTTCTGTATTTAGTAATGATATTGATTATATCAATTTCTGCCTAAAAATGTTTGTGTCTCCCCATAAGCCAATTCTTAAACATTCGAGTTCCTTTCTGGTCTTCAATTGCAGAGGCAGGTTGTGTATGGTGGTTAGGAAGTGCACAATTGCGGCTTTCAACTGCTTAATAACTCTCAGTGGATGCCATCAGAGCCTCGTGAGGTGTTGATATTCAGTTTGTCACTGAAGCCAAGCATGTTTCCTCTTGTTGCCCTCTGCGGTTCAGTTGCTCCGATTCCATCCCTGAGGGAGTCACGTTTCCTTTCTTCCAAAATGTTTTATGTGCCTGGTAAAATTAATACATTTATTAGTAACTATGTAGATGGTTTGTTGCGTTGAAAGGGCTCAAGAACAAACATAAGAAAACCACATACATTTTGACATCTCATGGGAAACAAATTATTCAGAAAATAGTGTTTTCCAGCATGTCAGGCAGAAATTTGGCTACCACCAGAACTACCAGGAGCCCAAAGTGAGATGAGAGAATGCTTGAATATACTTGATTTAAACATTCTGGTTGAGGCATAAATAAAGATTTGTCTCAAATCAGTATACAGTCCACAAACTATACCTGTGATGGCAAACCTATAGCACACGTGCCCAAAGTAGCACACGGAGCTATGTTGCCTGGCACGTGTGGCATTGCCCACTCCTCTTCCGGGTTTCTAGTGTACACACGCACGTGACAATCAGCTGACCTTCATGTGTGTGGATGTGCTGGAAACTAGAAGAGCTGGTCCTCCATTTTCTGGCCAGCTGATCGCTGCACGCGCCAGAGATTGGAAGACTGGCACTAATGCACATGCTGGAAACTGAAGTTCATTTTCCGGTGCAAGCATGTCCCCTGGGCAGCTCCTCTTCCGGGTTGCGGCCTGGATGAGTGCTCAGGCTCCCTTTTCAGCACTTGGTGCCAAAAAAGTTTGCCGTCATTGAACTATACAATAATCAGAGCTGAGTATCATCTTGGGACTGAATATTTTCAGAGTTCTGCTGCTACAAACATCTCTGCACACATAAAACACTGTTGAAGGGTGAAGAAAGCAGGGAATAGTTTTTTAAAAAAATCACGGAATTGTGGAGAGTTGACCTTTGCTGGAAGAGAAGATCTGCCCTGCTGGAGGTCTAGGTGGGCAAGTGGGCCAGTAACCTATGATGCCATTTGATCTAGGGCTATTTGGAGATTTGAGGTTGCTTTATAGGAAGGTTTGTCATTTTTAAAAAAATAATTTCACTGGAAAAAGTACGGGAAAACTTGTGTGAGGAAGATGTGATTAATTTACACAGTTGTCAAGCTCAGCTGGGTGGCCGAGTTGCAGCAGCACTCCCGCAGGTTCTCTCTAGGATGGACGATGGGTCCCCAACAGCTGTCTTTGTGACTCAGTCTCAAGATCCAGGGTTTTCCTTCTCGCACTAGATCATCAACGGCCTGCGCAAATTCCAGATAGAGTACCAGGGCGATTCAGAGCTTCAGCCAATCCGAAGTTACGAAAGCACCACCCTGGTCCGGCTGCTTTTCCGTCTGTCTTTGGCCATTAATGAACGCGTAAGTGGACTTCCCAGGCCATCGAGCGGCCCTTCTTCCCTTTGCCTTCACATTCCACTCACCTCTAGATTGGCCTCTTCCCAACCGCCAGGGTACAGATAGCGGAGTAGATCTACCTGAGGCTGGCATCTCATTGTGACGACTAGAAGCCCTTGGCGTGTTGGACAAGACCATGGGGGACTCTTTTTGGTTAAGTGGTTTGCTGTGGCAGTAAATTCTGTAATTAGCCATCCCTGAGCGAGGGGGTTTGGCTTTTGCACTAAGGATTCAATCTCATTTCCCCCAACTTGATTTGATTTCATCTTGGTCCCTTTTAGTTTGGAAGTCAGATGGAGAGGCTCTGTGCCAGAGAAGATTTCCTTGGCGGTTTCTGCCGGTATCATCTTACCAACCCGTCTCTGGTGGCCAATTCCCAGCGCAGCACACACACCAAGTGGCATTCGGGGCGGATTCAGCAGCCCAGAGTCAGCTTGAGGTTTCTGGCCAGCTACAGGACTCTCTTCTCCATCCTGATAGTTTACGTCATGGCCGCCTGGTTCTGCCTTGGGCCAGTGGCCTGCACCTTCGTGCTCTTCTTGGTATACCTTCTCTTTGCCTGTGTGATGACTGTCTTGACTGAGAAAAGGCAGTTTCATTGACAGCAAAAGTTGCCCAAGTAAGCCCTGTCTTCATCTGGGGGTAGACTCTCCTCGGGGCTGAAGGTCTTTTAAATCACTCACTGTGTGTGTAATTCTATGCCTGTCAGACTGTTGCTGTTTATACATTCTATTTTGATAAAAGTTTTTTTTAAATAAGAAAACACTGTGATCTTGGGAGACTCCTGGTGGCGTGGGGAAGTCAAAAGAAGCAGGGGCCCTGAGATGCTGTGGTGTCCCCAGTGTGGCAGGGCTGCTTGGGCTGTGCCAGCTTCTGCAGCCGGGACCCCATCCAGTGCCCAGGGCAGCCAGCTGTTGTGTCCGTGTCCTTGCAGATCAGCAGGCTTCATTTTGCCCTTTGAGGACCCATTCACTTGCACAAGTGGTGCTGTGGCTCGCAGTAGAAGTGTGGGGGTACTTTGCTGAATGGTGGGGTCCATCTGTCGGCTGTCCCAATGTGGTCAGTTACAAAAGATTGTAGGCCCATAAGAAGTGAAGCTGGATTTGAGGTTTCCATGTCCCCCATCGAGAAGTGTCCAGTTTTAACAGATTGTTTTGGGAAACAGTCCCTTGTCTTTGCAGTTGGCATTCCAGTGTTTCTCATGAGACAGCCTGAGGCTTGATTTCATTTCTTCATGGTATCCCCTGGCAATCCTCGCTCTCATACACCCAATGCCCTCCACCCCCTTTCAATGGCAGGCTGCCAACAGCAAACGCGATGTAGTCTAGCATAACGGCACCCTCATTCGTCATAAGGAGAGGGGGCTGAATGAAGAGAAAATAATTAGTGACTGAAAAAGGGGCAAACCGTGGTGATCATGAAGAAGGAATTTTTTTTAACATAAATTCTAGGCTTCTGTTTGTAGAACAAGCATAGAAACAAGACTATTTTTTTAAAAGTCTTTAAGGCCAGCGGGCAAGGTGTGGCAACAGCATTCCTCACCACCACCACCACCTACCCAGAGAAATGAAGGTTTGATTGCCTGGTAAGGCATATTTTCCTCTCTGGCTCAGAGAGAAGGAAAGTTTCCACAAGTGCCTTCACAGGTCTAAAGTAATTCTACCTGGAGCAGATCATCCAAAGAGCTAAGCAGGAGGGGCCATGGAGGCTCCGCAGAATTGCAAGCCTTGGAGGGGTGCAACTGCGGAGTTGCCCTTCACCTGTCCGCACCTGGTTACAAACCTGCATGAAAGTGGGTTGGTCCAGCCATGAAATGAGGCTGTGGTTGCAGTTGAACATCAGCCTGCAAGAGGCCAAGAAGGAGCAGAGTCAGGCAGTGTCTCCGGACAATGGAGCTGCCCTTCCCTGGGAGGACAACCTGAGCCAGGGTTGGACCCCGAGGCTTTCTGGGCAGCCCTTTTCAGCTTCAAGGGCTCCACCTAAGACCTCCTTCACCTCGGCTGCACCCGGGCAGGGAGTCCCGCCAGAGGTTTTCGGAGCAGGGAAAGGCCAGCGAGGAGTCTTGGCCCAATTGGCAGAGGGGGGAAGAGGCTCTTGGGGGGGTGTGGATCCTCTGCCTTGGCGGGCGGGGCTACTCTCTTCTCCAGCCTCCGCGGGCCGTCCAGAGAAGCGGATAGGCGGCCGAGACTCCTGGAGCCGCTGCTCCTCCTCCAGCGCGGAGCTGCCCGGGGACGGCGGGGCGCCGGGCTCCCCTGCTTGGCGAGCTGGCAGCGGCTCCCGGCCGAGGCGGTTCCGAGGCCGGCAGCGGCTGGGAGGCCCCGCCCCTCCCCGCAGACCCCACGCGCGCCCCCGGTCTCCTTGGCGACGGGGACGCGGCGGCAGTCGGGCGAGGCAGCGAGCGAGCCTCGAGCGGCGCCTGCTGGGCTTCGCGCGATGCGCCCCGAGCGGTGGTAGCGCATGCAGGGCTCGGGCTTCCCGCCGCTCGGCCACCTGCCGCACTGGCCGCGCGCGGGGCAGCCGGAGCGGCCCGGACGGTCCTTCGCGCCCGCCGGGCCCGGGCCGGCCGACGCCCCGCCGCCGCACACGCCGCCTTCGAGGCGGGCGGCCCCCGAGCTGGAACGCAGCCTGCAGTTCCTGCAGCAGCAACACGGCGAGACGCTCCGGCATCTGCACCAGGAGATCGAGCGGCTGAAGCGGCGCAACCAGGGTTCGGGAGGGGGAGAGGGGGCGGGGCGGGGCTGCCCCTACCCCTACCCCGCCCTGACCCCGCCTCTCTCCCTGCAGATCTGCAGTACCGGCTCATCATGCAACCGCTGCTTCAGCAGGCAGGTAGGTGGGCGGGGGAGCGGGCGTTCGGGGGCCAGCGTGGCGTTGCGGAGCTTCCCTCGCCTCTCCCGCTCTCGCCAGGCTTCCTCTCCGCGGACAGCGAAGGCGCCTCTGCTGGCAGGGCCAAGGCGAAGCAGGCCGGCGGCGGCCGCAGGGAGTCGGAGGGGCGGCTGGAAGGTAGGCGCGGCGGTTACCCGGGAGGGGAGATTTCAGCCGGGGGCGGCCGGCAGATGAGCCGAGACGTAGCTGCCCCCCTCGGAGCAGTCCCGGGAGGCCGGCCGATCCTCGGCCGGGGGCGTTCGCGGGTCAGGCTGCTCCCTCCAGGGGCTGCAAGGGGGTCCCTGGCTGGTCGCTCAGCCGGACGCCGCGAGAGGAGCCGCCGCGGAACAGCCTCGCCTCTGATGGGGCTGCCCACCTCTCGACCTTCCTCGGGAGGTGCCGCCCTGGAGCTCGGGTCCGTCGGATGCCGGGGCCTGCCCGGAGCACGGCCGGCCTTCGCGCCCGGAACTGGGCCGCTCGGGGTCCGCTTGCCTTCGGCCTGTCGGAGACCGCAGGGGGCTTGGTGCGGGCCGGCCATGACTGGTGCCCCTGGCCGGTTTTGCGAGCGGCCGCCACGGCATCTCCTCCTCTTCTTTTGCAGATGCTGAGCCGAAGGGCGGCGAGGACGAGGCTCCGGCCGAAGAGGAGGATGCAGCGGAGGGGAGCCCCGAGTGGGAGAGGCACGCCGAAGGACTCACTGCGGAGCCCCAGGAGGCGGCGGCGGCTGCAGCCCCGGCCAGGTGGGAGAGCCGGCCCAGCCGCCGCATCTCTCCGGGCCCCGTGAGCAGCGGAAGGGGGGAAGCTTGGCACGCCGGCCAGGAGCCCTTGAGACCCTCGCGACCGTTCCTGGCACTGAGGAAGGGGCCCTGCTGCCCGCCTGGAGTCCCCCAAGCGGGGGGAGATCGGGGGCGGCTTTGCACGGAGCCGGGTGGGCGTCTGATTCTTCTGGGCCAGGGAACTTCTGGCTTTGTCCGTGGGAACCGAGGCTTCTGAGCCAGCCTCGACTAGGCTGCTGGCTGGGAGATGCTGCCGAGAGCCGCCCCGCTTCCTCTCGGCCCGCAGAAAAGGAGCTCCGGTGGCTTTCTCCCCCTCCGGGGTGGGGGATGTGGCCGGCTGGAAATTCCAGGCGGGACTTTTTCTTTATGCCTTTTCTGATTATGAAAAAAAAAGAGATATGCAGATATTATAAAGAAGAAACAAAGAGAAAAGCATTTATTTCCATATCTATTCAGTGAATGGAAGTCATAGTTCATCATAATCATCCGTAGCTGATCCAACACATTCAGAAATCACTTAATAACATCAACTCTGCAGACCGTTAAGTTAGCTGTTACAAGGCTTTTTTGAAAAGGATCGCCTCTACTGCCATTATTAGCTTAATTGGGAATATTTTAATACTAAAAAGGGAAATTAGCTTTTTTTTCCTTGCATTTAATTCTCTATATACCTCCGTTCACTACACATTTCTGCCCTTGATGGCCATGTTTTTTTTCAAACCATCACAAAGGAACTCCAGCCTTTGTTTCTTCAATCAGCCTCTGTAAGTCCAGAAAGTTTCCTTCCATTTTGAGAACAGGTGGAAGTCTCGTGGTGTCACTTCTGAGCTGTGTGGTGGATGGAGGAAGCCATCGAGATGCAAATTTGTTTCTGGGGTGGCTCACCAAGCCTGAAGCCTGGCATTCTGTGGCATAAAATTTAACTTTCCTTTGCAAACTCTGTTTAACCATTATTTCAAAGTTTTGAGCCATAGAGTTTACAACTCTGAACTGATAGAGGTGTCAGATTCAGGGAATGTATGTGATGAACACCATCTGTCTTCTCAAAAAGTATATAATCCTGATTTCTCTCCCCCCCCCCTTTACATGAAGCTTCATGATGAAATTCCATGGACTTGCATTTTGTTTGTGGGTCCTAACAATGATCCCTTCTTTTGTCAGCTGTTACGATGCTGTGAAGAAATTCCTCACCTTCATTTTTATAATGTGACATAATTGCTCACTTCAAGCTTTCGTTTCTGTCATTTACATGTGAGCAATTCAAATGCACAAACCTCCCCAATACTGGAGAACATTAGTAACGTAATCTGTAAATTCCTATGAAATCCCAAGCCTAAGAGCAGATTCCTGTTGAATGATTTTCTGAATCAGTTCATTACCTTTTCTTATGTGGAACTGATAAGGTGCTATCAGAGATTATCTACTTCATTCTTTTTCAAACCCATATATCCATCTTTACTGCTTTGGATTAGAGGGGAAGAGGATTCATGTCCTCGCCATAAGCAACCTACATTCAGGTCCATGACAACTCTCCACGGCCATTTTGCCACAGGACAATTCGCTGCGGGACAAGAGCTACACTAATATCAAAGAACTGATGGAATAGAACCATTAAAGAAAGGATGCAAAAGGAGGGACAGAATGAAATGGGAATGGCAAACATTAAAATATTTTAAATTTATTTTACATAATTAAATAATTAGATTGTTAAAAATTTCCTGCAGCAAGTTTTCCCAAGGCAAATTGACCGTGGTAAGTTGGCTGTGGCAAGTTGTCCCATTCCCCCTGCATTCAGTGATGAAGTTTAGCTGGAAGTGCTCCGACATCCAATTCTGGCACAATGCTTAAACTCACTGCAGGCTTCCATTCCAAAGATTGGAGCAAGCATTATTTTCTCCCAAGAAGGGAAGAACTCCCTGGAGATAAGCCTTGTTTTATATATTGAGTAAAATGCATGGAATATTATACAGAAATGGAGTAGCTACAGGATAAAAAGGATTGAATTCCACGGATTTCTGACAACTTGAAAATTTTCTTTTTTATGTGAACACGATGGAGCTAAACAACATACCTTTTGTCAAAGTAGACATCAACTTTCTACTAAAGTCTTTGCTACCATCAATGTTTTATTTGATGTTAGCACCTTCCACTGTCCAGACAAAATAGGATTTCTCATTTTTTTTATTTCATTCAACCATTAAAGCCACCATATCTCCCCCAGATACTTCTGAAGAGTAATTGTAGGTTGCCAAAGAATTTAATTGACACTTGATTATGCTTTTTGAAGGATGAAAATGATGCATGTTCCAATTAAGGTGCTCGGAGATGCTGTAATGGCTAATGCGGGGCATTTGTCCTTTGCAGCAGAAAATCCCCCAATGTCTTCTACGTAGATCATTCTTATTGGTTACCTAAATTTGATTAGATTTAATTTTTAATTTGAGCCCTCTCTTCTAGTAATACAAGAAAACTGAAATAATTGTACTCATTTTAAGCTGCTGTTTTTTTGTATTGTGGGGATGTTATTAACATTTAGTTTCCATTATTTATCTGCTTTCACATTTGTAAAGACGATTTTTGTGAGAAAGGAAGTCGTCTACATTTTGGAGTCCTGACTTTGAGTGCCTCCTGGAGGCTGTGATTGACACTTGCCAGCGCTAATCCCGCCCCACCTGACATTGCAGAGACGCTGCTGTCTGCGACCAGAGGACGTCACCGATGTCTGTGCTTCATCTGCCAGCAAGCCAGAGCAGGGCTGGAGACGTGAAAATCCCCTCTGCATCTTCCAACCCTTTCTTGGTGAACGTACTGCCTTCCTACATGCGGAAGCCCCCCAGCCTGGAGGAATGTGAGGTGGTGATTCGCCAGCTGTGGAACATTAACCACATGCAGATGCAAGAGGTGAGGCCTTTGCTCACTGGTGGTGCCACAGATGCGCTGGGCAGGAGGGCTCTGCAAGAGCCATTTTCTCTTCTCTTCCTGCAGCTGATGTACTTGAGATCATGCCTGGATGATATACACAAGACCAAAAGAATTCCTGAAGATTACATGTTAGCTGGTCAACTTGGGTAAGTGGACTTCAGAGATGAAGGTTGGCGGGTCCAGCACACACGCTTTTCTGGCCCCAAGGGAGAGCCTGAAGTCAGCCTTGTGCAGTTACTCCCCCACACCCCAGGGGGTTGATTAGTGAAAGTCAATTGCCTTCTCAAATTTTAGAAAATACTCCTCCTCCGACACAGTCCTCGGATCCTAAGGAGACCCCTGTGGTCTCTCACTGGCCAGAGGTTTTTTTCCCAGGGTCCTGAATTCGGTACTGAAGGAAACAGGATCTCTTCTCAAGCAAGAAGGCAGATGCCGCATCTACTTGCCCTGTAACTGATTCTGCTCTGCTTCACAGTCCCAGAGAACCAACCTGATTGAGAAAAGCCTTGGCAGATGGTCTGGCCAATTCAACCTTCCCTGGCCAATTCAACCTTCCTAGTCCAGGGAAATCCATGGCCAAGGAGAGGCTGGAACTGGATCCGCCACCCTAGTCCAGCCTCTTCACCACTGTTCATCCTGCCTGGCCCTTGTATTGGGAGCTGAGCAGCCTAGAGACCCCTTGGGAGCTCCAGTGGTTATGGCTAGGGATCCCCCTGGATCATGCTGGCTCTCTTGCGGTAATTTCCATTAGTGTTTGGAAAAATACGGCCACTGGATTCTCTTCGTGGGAGTTGTTTAGTGAGATCAGGATGAAAAGTCAAAGATTGGATTCTGCCCACTTTAATGCCAAGTTCAGGGCAGGGCGCACACACAACACATGGGCTTCTTTGTGAAGTACACTCAATGATTGTTAGCTATTCTTGATTGTTAGATAGTTGAGGGAAGAAAATGCCTCCCCACCCCCCCCCCCCCCCCCCCCCCCCCCCCCCCCCCCCCCCCCCCCCCCCCCCCCCCCCCC